GTTTTTTTATGTCATTTCCACTCTCCTGTTTCTTCACTGACTCCAATCAGTCTTATGTTTTTCTTCTTTGCATCATCTAGCAGCTGCTGGATGGATTTCTTGTGGTCCCTTACTATTTTTAAGAAATATTTCTTTTCCTGGTCATTAATATCAACCCTTTATTTGTATCTGATATTCTGTCCTTACATTCACTCACTCTTCTGTGGAAACTTTCAATGGAGTTTTTAATCTCCTGGATATCTGCTTAAATCTTTTTTATGGATTCCATGTTTCCTAACCTGGGATGCCATCATGTTCCTCAGGTCCTGTATTTTTTTTATATCTGTTTCTGCTCTAGAGTTATTAATCATGTTTTGGACTACAGACAGAATCTCTGTTGTCTGAGAAATTATTTCTGATTTTATTTCTTCCAGATCCTCTTTCATTGACAGTTCAGGGAGTCCAGGTGGTTGAGTATCATATTGTTCCATCTTGTTGCCCCTTGGGGTTGCCTTAGGTGATATGCAAGTCTGCTTTTGCAACTTGTTTATGTGTTTTCTCATTTCAACAGATGCAGCCTTCTGCGCCTTTGTTGGGGTGGCTTTTTGCTTGTCCAGTGGGGTTCAATTCTCAGCAAGCCTCAGAGAAGCCTTCTCTCTACTGATCACTACTGCAGGAATTCCTATGTTCAGAATGGCGGCCTTCTGGATCCCTGCGCTGTGCTGTTATCCAGGAGGGTTTCTGGCTAGGGACTCTTCACACTTAGTATGGTATCTGGATATGCCTTTTGCTAGGGCCTGCCCATCTATGTAGCTATTGTCTGGGAGGGCCTTTGGCTGGTGCTGTCCACCTGAGTCCTGGTATCTGAGAGGGTTCTAGCTGGGGTGTGCATACACTTAGGGATGGTATCTGGACAGGCCTCTGGCTGGGGCCTCAGGCTCCAAGCCACTGGTGTCTGGGTGGGGCCCTGACTGGGTCCTATGCACCTGAGCTACTCTCATCCATGGGGTCTTCTCTCTGGGATCTGCATGTGCTTACGGGTGGTATCTGGGTGGGCCTCTGGCTGTTGCGTGCATGGCTATGCAGCTGTTTTCCGGGGGCCTATGGCTGGTATCTAGGCGGGGCCCTGGCTGGGACCTGCACACCCATGCTACTCTGGTCCCCGAGGGCTTGTGGCTAGGACCTGCATGCCCTTTCCAAGTAACTCTTGAAAATATTACTTTAATTTTTATATACCTTTAGTGGAATATAATGTAAGACACAAATGTTTCCAAAGAAAATGTCTAATTGGCTAAGTTTGTTGTTGGTAATAACATATGAGTGTAGCCATTTTCAAACTATTTTGTGTATATTTCAAGACTGAGCATGTGAGCAAGTACATTGATGTTTTTGCAACTAGAGATCTCAGGAGAAAAAGGTACAAATAATGGAAAGATCAAAGAAGAATAAGATTATTGTGTTCTTATATTGGAACAAAAGTATCGGTTCAAATTTGTTATTTAAAAAGTATTCTAAATAGTGAATATGCTTACTTGCTTAAGAGGCCTAGATGCATTGAAAACCATATAGCAATGAGTATACCTGGCACAAAGATCTGGGATACTAAATACTGTTTCTTACTAAAATTAACCAAGATTCCTCAGAGGAACATCTGAAACGAAATGAATGCATGTCACAAGAATACAGAAACCATTTTGAATAGGCTCTCACTGACCAAATTTAAGGTAGAGCATCAAAAGAAGTAATGACACTAATGAATTGTAATATATTGAATAAAATACTAGTCTCAGCATCCTTAATGATAGTATTTTAAAAAATGTACACAGTGGTAATGTGGGGAGAGAAATGTGATCAGACAGGTAGGCAGGGAAGGAAAGAAAAGAAAATGTAAGAAAAAAAAGGTTAAAGAGGGGAAATACTAAACAGTGGCTAGGGAAAAAGAGGAGAAAGATGATAGGGAAAAGAAGGGAAGGGAAGAGAGCCGTGATAGTACTATTAAAACAAAAAGTGACAAGAGGAAAGGGAAAGCCTTTCTTTAAAAAAAGTGCTAAGATATGTAGAATGAATGATAAATTTAGAAAATCAGAGTTTGTAACTACCATTAATTGTTTCATATAAGAATCATTAGTGGTTGCTAAAACCATATGGTTAAAAACTGTTGGAGAATAGAATAGTCACACAGTTTGAAAGTACAGTATAACCCATAGATTACTTTTTAATTACAAAGCAAAAAGGTATCATCAGAGTAGTCGGGTAAACACCCTTAACCAGTTGATCAAATTTAATATCAATATGGGATAAGTTGACCTCATGGTGTAATAATACACTGAGGACACATCATCACTTATTTCTGACAGAAATTTTTAGCCCAGCTCTAATGATTGGGAACAGCTAAATGTACAAACTGAAGGGCTTTTCTTTTTTTAAAAATAGATCTGGACATTTTAGAAATGTTAATGTTGCACACACATGCAAAAGCTTTTATAAATTCAATGTTTTTGTCTTGATTAGATCTTAGATGGAAAAACATAAAGGATATTTCTCAGATAATTGATAAAGTTTGAATATGAGCTATGTGTCAGATATAAGAGTATTATATCATTGCTAAATTTCTTGGATGTGATAGTTATATTCTAATCATGTAGGTGAATATTCTTTTTAAGGAGGTACATACTAATGAAATATTTGAAGATAAAGTTTAACAGTGTCAGCAACTCCTCAAATGGTTTGCAAAAATTGTACATATATATATACTATATATACTATATGTATACTATATAGTGTATAAAATGAGACAAAACAAATGTACTGTACATATGTATACAGAATGTGTAAAGGGAGACAAAGCAAATGTGGAAAATAGTACTAAACTAAGAAAAACATACATAAATGTTTATTGTTTTATTCTTGCAACATTTGAAAATTTAAAAATAGGTGTGATATAACTAGAGATCAAGAGATGTTTTAACCGAAAACTGTCATCATTAAAATAAAGTCAGGACATCTCCAAAGAGTAGAACAAAAAGAGAGGAAATACAGAGATAAAATGAACGAATTGCTGTAAGAGATCTAACATCTGACTAGCAGTAGTTCTAAAAAGTGAGGACAGGAAAATAGAGGGGAATTATCAAAAAAATAATACCCACAATATATCCAGAACTTCAGGGCAAGAGTTCACAGATTGAAAGAGAATACTAAGCACCCACGACAATGTATAGAAAGATAAGGAAACCTCATACCAAGATGTGTTATCATAAAGCTTCAGAATTCACGTAGGAGGAGTCTAACTAATAGATTAATAGATTACCTAATGTAATTGATTATGAGAAAAAATAATGGACAGAAGAGTTTTATACTTTAGGCACAAACTTCAGAGAGATTTCTGATAGTAACATAGTAAACTAAGCAAATGGAAAAATGAGGCAGTTGCTAAATCTAGAGAGAATGAAAAGCTATATAAAGAAATATATGAAAAATTCTAGTACCTACTTGATTCAACAAGAAGTAGTAAAGTGAACATTGAACCAAAATTTGTGTTATAACTGATGTTATTAAAAGAGTGAAGGCTGGGGCCGTAGGAATGTAGGGATAGTGTAAGAATTCTGAATGTCTTCCATAATAGGAAGACAGTAGTTAACAATAGAAATCAGTAAGTCAAGGGGCCAGGGATTTAGCTCAGTGGCACCACTCCCGCCTCATAAGCACAAGGTCCTGAGTTTGATCCCCAGTACCACACACACAAAAAAAGAAAAATGAAATAGCAGTAAACTATATACAGACACACTTAGAAATTATTACAGTAAAAGATACATTGCTATTAATACCCCTCAAAATATTTTCACTCTCTTTGAGCACACCCCATCGTTCTTGCCACTTTCTGAAGCAGTTCTGAAAGTCCTCTTTCATGTCTTTATGAGGTCTGATAAAAAAAAAATAGTGAATGCTGCTGCTATATCCCATCCAACAGAAAGGCAGTATTGTAAAACCATGACAGTGTGTCCATATCCATCTCACTAGGTCTGGCACCATGTGACTTCTAGCTCATCCTTAGTCAAAATGACCATGAAGGTAAATGTTTTGGGTTGATTCAGGACATTGAGGAAGCCACGAAGGCACAACTAAAGACATAAAAAAGATTTCTAGAACTGCTTTTTAAAAGTATCAAGAATGATAGGTTAAGTGTGTTTGAAGCCAGAGGGAATATTTTGAGAGAAATTAATAGCAACGTGTCTGTCTTTTACTGTAATAATGTTTTTAAAAATTTGAATATTCACTTTTTCCATTGCACTGTATGTATGTGTAATATGTAAATACTATATATATGTAAATATAGTACTCAGGCATGGGCACAAATTTTAGTTATTTTGCTTAAGGGTGTGTTTGTAAAGATCCTATCACCTAGGAGTACTAGTAAAAATAACAAAATTCCTTTGTCTCCCAACATGTTTAAAAAGTAACTGTCAATTTGTTAAGAGACAAATTAATTATAGTTCAGAGTTTGGAATCTACCAAATCTGTCCAAGATTGGTTAATAGTTATGGTTAATAAAAATAGCTATTGGAAAAAGCAAACTTTATTTTCTTGAAATTTTTTATTTTATAAGGATTCAGGATATTATTTTTAAATCCTTTAAATTCCTATATGAGTAACAGTGCTTTTTATTAGAATATTTGTTGATTGCAGAAAAGTTCACATTTTAAACTTTCCTTTTCTGCTCTTCAAAATGAAATATAAAGTATTTTTCAAAATGAAAACTAAAAATAAGAATAAAGTTGCATTTCATTTAAGGTAAATGATGGTAATGGTATTGGAATTTCATAGCCTTTTGTTTGTTCACTGGGACTGAGTAGCTTAACAATGAAGAAATTTTTACTTCAATTTTTCCCACTTAACTCTGGATGAAGAATTGAGAGGTATTTTAATGAATGTAAATCATTAGTTATAAATTATTATATATTTTTAATTATTGTATTACATATTAAATGACCTTTCTCTGTATTTCTCTTATATTTGCTTTTTAGGGTAAAGTAGCTGAACGTGGTACCCACTATGGTTTGCTTGCTAACTCTGGCAGTATCTATTCAGAAATGTGGCATACACAGAGTAGCCATATGCAGAACCATGATAACCCCAAGTGGGATACAAAAAAAGAAAATGTGTCCAAAGAGGAGGAAAGGAAGAAACTACAGGAAGAAATTGTCAACAGTGTGAAAGGCTGTGGAAACTGTTCCTGCTAATTCATAGGAAATGTTTTCCTTTCATTTTTTGGACTGCACTTCAAGTACAATTCGATGATGAAGCAGAATTGTTTAATTAAAACAACAATCATACATTCCCATTTTTTATAATCCTTTAAATAATCTATAAGACTTATTTAAAGGTTTTGAATTTAACATCTTTCAGTCTGTTTAATGTGGTATATGTATTTATCCCCAGATTATTTTCTTGTTACTGTCCCAGATATGCTCAATGCATAATTTTTATGTTAACATTTGAGTTTACCTCATTACCCTTTTTGAGGCCTGACATCCATTTCACATCCATAACAAGATATATCAGATTGGTTTCCAAATTTTTGACTTTAAAACCTTTGTGGTGACAGTTTAGAGAAAAAGTATCTTTTTCTTAAAATTATAGAAAAAGGGCAATGTAGGTTCTCTGTTTCATTTCTCTTCTTCCAATTGAAATACTTCATTAATGTGGAAAATAGTTATGACATCCATTTATAGTTTGGTTATCTTGATAGATACCTATAATTCAAGTTTTGGAATTTGGAATTTCAAGTTTCCAACTGTGTACTGTACATTTTAAAAGAAAAACTTGAATTCTCATGTTTGTGTGTAGAATATTAATCATTAACATAATAACACACCTAGGAACTGGAATTTCATTCTCCCAACAAATGTGGCAATGTTTTTGTTTTGAACTAAAATTTATGCTTTGTTCTTTAAACACTTACAAACCTTAATATGATTTGACAGTTGCTATACTGGGAGTGATCGAAAAAGCTTAGGATATTAATAGCCCTTCCTATTTCCACCCAAAATGCACTTCTTTTGCTATCTAAAGTTATATGAATGAACAAATACATAGTGTGTTGTGTTACATGCACATACATGTGAATAAATCATTATCCATTTAAAAGTTACTAAATACATTTGGTAAATAGGAAAAAACAGATATATATATAAAACCAGGACTCTCAATCTACATTGACACTTTTAAGTCTAATATAACAAGGAGCTCAGACAATTTAATCAAGCTTTACTGGGGGAAAATGTTTTACATGTTGGAAATAATTATTAAAATAATGATAGATGTTCACTTAGGAAATTATTCTCACCAGGCATGGTGGCGTCACCTGTAATCCCAGCACTTGAGAGGCTGAGGCAGACCAGCCTGGGCTGCATAGTGAGTTCAAGGCCAACCTGAACTACACAGAGAAACTGTCTCAAAATTTAAAAAAGGAATGATGCTATATATATATCTGTAGTTCCAACTTCTCAGGAAGCTGAGGCAGGAGGATCACTTGAGCCCAGGAGTTAAGGCCAGTCTGGGCAACATAGTAAGATGCTTCCTCTCAGAATTTTTAAGAAAATGTTCCTCTCTTTTCCAGTGTGAATTTGCCTTGATTTATTGGATAGTAATCATTCAGTTTGGAAAACTTGTGTATCTCACAAATGGCCACATAACCATATATAATGAAATTTTATATCTCAGGTAGGGTCCTAATGTACTTATTGGTTTATGATTTTAATGTGTTTTAAATGATAATTTAATATCAGAGAGATTAATATGCTTTGTTCTGTGTTGACTTTGGTGAATAGATATCTCAACATCTATCAAGACAATTGGTAAGTAACTTGGGCCACCAGTATTTCAGTCAGAACTAAGTGATTTCAGCCAGAGTAAGTACTGTAAAGTTGAAATTAACATTGAGATGCATAATGAACTACAAAAAAAGGCTTGGGTTTTTTTTCTTTTACATTTTTGATTCTGAAGTAGATATTGTTGCTGTTCTGAAAGGGAAAAACAGCATTTCCTTTGAATAAATCAGCTATATTACTGGAAATGTGGTTGCAGCCTAGACAGAAATTTTGCATCTCTGTTTTTTCTATACATTTCCAGTGATGCTGATGGAAATAATTTAACTTAATTGCATGAAGATTAAAATAATCATTAGTAATAATTCCTTTTGAAGTGTTAAAAGCAGCATTCAAAGCAAGTTATTTTGTGAGATGGGAAACATTTAGTCCAAGAAGGTAAGAATGTTTTCAGGATGTGGATAATTTTCCCACTATGATTTTTTGGGGCAGGGGTAGAGGGAGAGGATCTTGCTGTGTAGTTCAGGCTGGCCTTGAACTTGCAGGGATCCTTCTGCCTCAGTCTCCTAAGTGCTGAGATTACAAGCATGTGCCACCCCACCCAGCCACTAAGATTTTGAAGCTGATTTAGTTCTGTGTGATTGCAGGTGGTTCCTAGTCCATTCTGGTCATTAACCAGTATTTTCAGCTCAGAATAAATTAAATTACCTGAAAACACAGTTATTGTAGGGGTTGTAGCTGAGTCACAAAGGCATTTATCTTAAAACCACATTATATTAAGTTAGTTCTATACAGGGAAATAATAGATTAAGATGAAAGAAAAGCTTCCTAGGATGATTAACTGATAGGAAATGCCAAGAAAAAGGGCATGTAATTATAATGTACTGATTTTACATTACAACAATTACATACACAAAAGGATAATGTGTATAAATTTTTAAATAAGTGTTGCAACAATGTTGTTAATGTTTTGAGACTAATCTACAGTTTTGGAATTTGAGCTCTGAAAATTGGGCAAGGTGATAGGGTTTTATTTCTTACTGTAGATTCCTTTATTTTGAACTCCAAAAAATTCACTTTCCTCCTAAAGTGAATCCCAGTTTACAAAAATTAACATGAAATCAAGGTAATTTGAGATCACTTTTTAACTGGACCAGGTGCCTTACTGAAGTTTCTTAACATAGAAATATCTTGGTTAGCAGATGTTTCAAATTTCAAAAATTTGAAAATTTTTGAAGAGCACAAGTCTGAGAGTCACTTGTGAGAATTAAAGAGAAGCCTTTAGCATTTGTACATGAATGAGCTCAAGATAGTCATTTACTTTTCCTCTGCAGGAATTTACACTTTCATATACCTTAAGATAAGTATTTTGTCTTTCCCATCATTGTGGACAAAGCTCAGTTTGTGAAGATGGCTGTTTTAAAAATGTTTTGCTTTAAGGGGCCGAGGATGTAGCTCAGTGGTTTCACCACCTGCTGCACAAGCGCAAGGACCCGAGTTCAATCCCCGGTACCAAAAAAAAAAAAATGTTTTGCTTTAAAGGCAAAATATATAAGTTTTTTGTTTCCTTGTTTCTAAATCATTTTGTCTCTATTGCTATCTTGCTCCTGTCCTTGCTATCTTGCTGAATATATGTCAGTGAGTTATCAACTTTTGCCAGTGTATATTCATAATTTTCTTTCATTGGAACGTTATTACACTATATTCTGTTTTGAGTTAGTAGTTGGAAGTATTTAAATATTCTTGCAATTGTAGTTTTCTTAAATTATAAAAAAGTCCATTGTTTCCCATCTTTGAGTATATACATTTGTATAGTAAATGATGCTATTAAGTCAAATAAGCTGATTAAAATTGGTTAAGACAGAACAACTCAGTCAGGGAAGCTCTTACCACAGTTTTATTGTTTATGACACATCTGGATAATCATTACTAAATAAACATTATGTCTTTGTGACTAGAAATTGGAGTCCAATTTAAACAACTCTTTTCTGCAATGCCCAGGGAAAACTCATATTTTATCATTTATACATTCTAAATAAATACAGATAATTAATAGACATTCTGGGAGTATGACCTTATAGCCTTATTCAAAATGCGAAAATTTGGCATTTCAGAGAGAAAGTAATTATATGCAGAGATCATAATGTGAGCAGATTGTAGTGATTTTATTTAGTATTAAGATGTCATATTTTTAATGACCAGTTAGTGAATGGTAAAACCATTGTAAAGGAATACTGTGAATAAGTTTGTGCCAACAAATTAGATTAAATGAACAAATTCACAGACACAAATTGTCAAAACTGACTCCAGAAAAATTATACAGTTCAAATAAATCTATAACAAGTAAAGAGATTATTTTACTAATAAAAACTCACAAAGAAAACTCCAGGCCTATCACCCGTGAATTCTAACAAACAAGGAAAGATTAATAAGAGAGAAAGAAATTCTTCACAATACATTATGAGGCCAGTATTATCCTGATATCACAACCAAAGACAACATAAGAAAACTATAAGACTCATGTAGATGCAGAAATCCTCAACAAAATAGTAGCAAAGTGAGTCCTACAACATTTAAAATGCATGATCAAGTGGGACTTATCTCAGAAATGCAAAGTTAATGTAACATTCAGAAAATCAATACAGTAGACTATTAATAGAATAAATGATAAAACCATATGATCATTTCAGTAAATTCAGAAAAAGCATTTTGCAAAATGCAACTTTTACATAATGAAAAAATGCTTAATAAACTAGACATTAAAAATCTCAGCTATCTTTTATGCTAAGTAACTACTTTGAAGATAATACAGTGTATTAACTTATTATTTTGTTGCAAAATTTTGTTTTCATAAAATTTCTCAACCTGAACGGTTATGGAAAACTCAGTTTAACATCATACTTAATTATGAAAGACTACTGAACTCCTAAGTCAAGAATGGGACAGGAATGTTGCTCTTAACATTTTTATTCAGTACTTTTCTAAATGTTCTAGCCAGGAAAATAAGGCAATAAAAACAAAGTTGGATAACCCTTGTTTCCTAATTGCAGAACTTAACTCCAAAAATGCAATAATCAAGATACATGTGGCATTGGCATAAGAATGGAAATACATGTAAATTGAATAGAATTGAGAGTACAGAAGTAAACTTTTACATGTATGGAGAGTTGATTTCTGACAAGATTACCAAAATCATTCAATGAGGAAAGAACAATCTCCAACAAATGCTTTGGACAACTGTCTATCTACATGTACAATAATGAAGTTGGATTTCATACCACTTAAAAAGTTATCTCAGTGTAGATCATGCATTTAAATATAAGAACTAAAACTTCAAAACTTTTAGAAAAAAACAAGGTAAGTCTTCATGGCCATGGGGTGACACCAACACAAAGAAAATTGGTAAAGTGAACATCAGAGTTAACATTTATGGTTCAAATGATGTCAAAGTAAAAGGATAACCCTTAGAATGGGAGAAAATATTTGTAAATCATATATCCTAAGGGGGGCTGTATCTGGAATACATAAACACAATTACAACTCAGTAGTAAAAAGCGATAACCTACTTAGAAACTAGGAAGAGGATCTGAATAGAAGCTCTCCAAAAAAGATATACAAACAGCTGATGAGCACATGGGAAGATGCTCAACATCTTTAAACATCAGGGAAATGCAAACCAAAGAGTAGTGAAATAGCATGTCACATTCACTGAATGGCTATAATTTAAATCACAGCAAGAATGTGGAGAAATTGTAATGTTTGTACATTACTAGTGGGAGCATAAAAGTGTTGCATTTGATTTGAAAAATAGTCTTTCTCAAAAAAGTTAAGAGTTACTATATGACTCAGAAGTTCTAGGTATATTATCTGATAATATAAAGATATGAAGTTTTAATACCCACTACAGCATTAACCTTGTAAACACAGCATCAAAGAAGCCTCTCACAAAAGTCCATGTATTGTATGCTTCCATTCTTGAAGATATATATCTATAGAGGTAGAAGATAGATTAGTTGCTTTTTAGGGCTGGGGATGGATGGAAAGGTGTTATGGAGGAATGGGAAGGAATGCTGTAAGTATATTGACAATAGCCTGTGTTGTCATGTTGTACACGACAAAAGAAATGTATTTTGTACATATCCTGACATTTCAGTTTGTTGCTAGTGTTTCTGTATTCCAATAGGTCATGCCATTGAAGTAAGAAATTGGAATCTTCAAGCCGTTTTTCTTCTGGTTTTAATTATAGGGGTCTCCAGCTGCTACTTCCAAAGGTTTATTTACCATGCTTAAAAGGTTTATTTACCATACTTTTAATGATGATGATATTTTAAAAGCTATAGATGCTGCCTTTAACTGTAGTCATGAAAAATGAAGACCCTCCTCCCACTATTAGTATTAGATGCACGGTTGTCTATGAAGAAAATCCATTGCATAAATTAGAAGCTGCAAGTTTATACATAGAATACAATTGGAAAGACTAACAAATAATTTCATAGTTGTATAGATTATCACAGTAGGAGGTAAATCTAAGATAGCTTGGTCTAGGGATCAGCAAACTTTTTCTACAAAGGTCCATATAGTCAATATTGTTGGCTAAATGGTGTTTGTCACAACTACTTGACTCTTTTTAAGGCAAATGCAGGCTTAATATATAAATAGATGAGAGTGGCTAGTTCCAATAAAACTATTTTTTCCATCTCTAATTTTTAATTTTTATTGTACATCTTCACAGTACATAATGATTACATTCCTCATGGAGAGTTGATACATGCACATAACACATCTTAATTCTTTTTTAATCCCCTTCCCCTTTTATCCTTCCTCCCCCCCATCTTTGGCCCCCTTCACTTTTGTAAAAGATCTATCTCCCTATTTCCTATTATCTATCTTTTATTTTGTTCCTTATAATTTGAGTTTCTCATATAAGAGAAATCGTGATATTAACCTTGTGTGTCTCATTTCATTTAACACAAATGTCTCAAGGTGGATCCATTTTTCTACAAATGACTCAAGTTTATCCTTTATGAAAGAGTAGTACTCCACTGTCTAAAAATACCAGTTTCTTTACCCATTCATCTGTTGATGGAAATGTAGGGTGCTTCCAAGATTTAGCTGTTATGAATTGTGCTGCTATAAAACTGGGTATCCATGTATCACTGTAATATGATGTCTATAACTTTTAGAAAGATAACTAGAAGGGGAATTGTAGGGAACAGGGGAAGGGGACGTTACCAGAACCTCTGCAGTAAGTCCTAGTCTCCTGCGAGCCACAGCAGCACAGGGCAAATTACAGGAAAGGTAGAAAAATGAGACTGAGAAGAAGCTGACCTTTGAGTCTGATCAGTGCTGCTCTGGGCAGCAAAGACAAAGACCCTCTAGCTTGCAGCACCTTTTATTCAGTACATGGGGAAACAAATGTGACAAGTGAAATGTAGAGTTCAGTACTTCACATTTGGGATAAACAAGGTGTAACAAAAGACTGGGGGGCGTGGAAATCTAAGAACAATGAGGAACTATGCAGATGAAGATTTGGTTCCTCCCAGGGTGTCTCCCGCAGGTGTGGTCTTGTCCTGGAGCATTACAGCATCATGGGATCACTGAGGTCTCAGTTGTTACCCGAGGCCAAAATGCAATTATGTCTGGAATAGCTGACCTGTAAGGCAGGAGAACTAGGGCTACTCAAATGATTTTTCCCTAGAATTATGTAGCATTGCTCCCAACAGGGAATATCTATATCAAGTGGAATTTCTATTTCTAGTTTTTGAGGAATTTTCACACTGATTTCCATAGTGATTGTACTAGTTTACATTCCCACCAACAATGTAGAAGGATTCTTTTTTCCCAGCATCCCTTCAAGCATTTATTATTATTTGATTTCTTGATAACCATTCTTTCTGGAGCAAGGTGGAATCTCAGTGTTGTTTTAATTTGCATTTCTCTAATTGCCAGAAATGTTGAACTTTTTTCATGTATTGGCCATTTGTACATCTTTTTCTAAGAAGTGTCTATTTATTTGCCCATTTTTTAAATAAAACTATTTATAAAAGCACCTTAAGTGTTTTCCATTTCCCTCATTTTTCTGTTTAGGAAATTGAGATACATAGAGGGGATGCATCTATATTCACAAAGCTGATCAGTGACAGAGCTAGGACTAGAACTCAGTTTAGTGCCTTTTTTCACTATTCCCATGTTTTAGCAGTCAGAATAGAGGTGACTCATTTTTCCTCCGATCTTATTTTCCTCAATTTGAATTTATCACTTCTTTGAATCTATTTTGAATACATGATTAACTTTTTTAACCTTTTTGTCACTTTCTGTTGATTCTTAGAAATTGGTAAACATTGAGTTAGCATCAGGCATATAGCATTATATTTTAGGGTGCATATTCCAGGAGTGAATATTGTATAGGATACCGCTCAGGAAATTTATAGTACAGTAGGGAGCTTGGCATTAACCACACAGAAGTTTTTGTTGTATAATGTATTCTTTGCAGTCCTGGGGATTGAAACTAGGGCCTGATACATGCTAGGCAAGTGCTCTATCAATGAACTACATCTCCATCCTTTTTTAATTTTATTTTGGCACAAGACCTCACTAAGTTGCTCAGGCTGGCCTTGAACTTTCAACTTTTCAGCCTTGGCCTCCTGAGAAGCTGGCATTGGAGGTCTGAACTGTCACACCCTGATTCATAAAGTATTTTTACAGCAGATATAAAAAGCAAATGAATTTGTAATCTAAAAGTCTCTCAGAACTCTAGCTCTTCTGCTGGCTGATTATAACATTTGTCTAGGTCCTTAAATTGACCTACCTTCAATTTTCTCTTCTACTAAATGGAGATGAAACCGTTTACATAAAATTCAAGTGAGGTTTAAATGAGATAGTGTGAGATTACTTGCAAACTGATGTATTATGTATGTAAAGGACAAATTATTTCATAGCTAATGAGAAAACAGGCCTAATT